TATAGGATATTGGTGGGAAAGCCGGAAGGCAAGAGACCACAGGGAAGACCAAGGCGTAGGTGGATGGACAATATTAGAATGGATCTTAGAGAGATGGGATGGGATGGGATGGTATGGATTGGATAGATCTGGCTCAGGATAGGGACCAGTGGAGGGCTCTTGTGAACATGGTAATGAACCTTCGGGTTCCATAAAATACTGGGAAATTCTTCAGTAGCTGCAGAATTGGTGGCTCCTTCAGAAGGGCTCAGCTCCATGAGTAAGTTTGTAAGTAGGGCTGTAACATAGCTCAGGCTCACCAGGTTCCCACCATGGTGGTCTGGGTCTGATCCTGGGTCAGATGTGGAATTTGTGGTGGACAAAGTGACAATGGGGCGATTTTTCTCCAAGAACTTCAGTTTCTCCTGTGAGTTCTCATTCCACCAAATGCTCCATACTAATCTATCTTCCAAGGCTGGTATAACAGGCCAATTTGAGACTGGCGTACCACGTGGACTCATTCTCACCCCATCCCACGAAATAAAAATAATTAAATCACTTGTAACCGTACGCACCCTTCACGGAGGTATCTTATATGTTTATGCTTGGCGATTGGGTTTGGCTGTGGAAGTGAGATGCCCCGGAGGGTTCATGGTCCTCTGAACTGGCCTTTTGTTGCGAGGGACTGAAGGGAGGTTGGTGAGTCCATTGCATTCAAGGGGGAGTAGGTATACCTTCTTTCGTCCGTGCCTGTGGGGGTGGAGGACCTGTGGATCGAAGCTTCGAGAAACTTCTAGAAGGTGTGCAGACCGGAAGNTATATATGCTGATAGGCTGTAACATAGCTCAGGCAGTTAGTCGCCAGGTTCCCACCATGGTGGTCTGGGTCTGATCCTGGGTCAGATCATGTGGAATTTGTGGTGGACGAAGTGACAATGGGGCGATTTTTCTCCAAAAACTTCAGTTTCTCCTGTGAGTTCTCATTCCATCAAATGCTCCATACTCATCTATTTTCCAAGGCTGGTATAACAGGCCAATTAGAGACTGGCGTACCACGTGGACTCATTCTCACCCCATCCCACGAAATAAAAATAATTAAATCACTTATATATGTGATGACACTTCTGTTCTAGATGTGGGGATGAATTTAGATGAGCTTGAAAGGGTTACAACTGTTCATACATGCAAGGTACATTTTATTATTTTTATGTTTTAATTCCAGTTTAAAAACTCAAAATCAACGACCTTGGGGATTCATTACACTGACCACGTGACACCCTCTATCCACAAAAGTTGCCCTTGCATGACACTAAAATGTCCTATATCACTGAAAAGGGCTATAGGATGAATGAACAAATATATTAAATGAAATTGGTGCAAGAACTTTAATTTCATTTGATTTAGCACATATATATGCCTGGCTAATTCTGTTTATGGTGCCAAAATTTTCGTAATAATGGACTTTGTAATATGGTGATCAACTTTAATAACAAGCATACATGAATACAGAATAATTCACCAAGAACTAAAATAATAATAGCACCACATCTTCTGTGACCTGACTGTCTAGGAAATGCGGGATCCTCAATATCTCACAGGCCTTCATGGCCTCTTATATGGATAGCTGTAAACTTTTACCACATTTTAAAAACAGTGGTCATTGCAATCAACACAGCTTTCATATTTCATATCATTATGTCGCTAATAAGTTACTTGGCAAGATGAATATAAACAGAGGGAGTTATAAATATAAAATACTAACCTTCTTCTTGTTCTTAATAAAAACAAATGTTGGCATTGCTGTAATTTCATAATCAGATGCTATGTCCTCACATTCATCTACATCAACTTTCAGGAAAACAACATCTGGATACTCTGCAGCAAGCTCCTGTAAATATAATCTCTGTTATTAACATATTGAGGACCGGTCGCATGATATCATGCTTTTGGCTTTTAAACATGGCAGACCGGTCGCATGATATCACGATTTTAGGACATGTTATGTTGTGATCAAAATCACATAAATAACAATCCAAAACTGTAAATACTAGGTGGTTCACATATGACTGGGACTGACTTTTTTGTAAACAAGCCACACTGCGCAGCAGCTGTGCGACCTTAAGAGATTGTAGCCACAACCTCCACTCTCCCTCCTGTTCAGGTTAGAACCTGTTCGGTCCTGTCTGGAAGTTGCTAGTGATGAGTGTACAGAAGGTCCCGTGGAGTGTGGAACAACGCATTGTGATCAAATTCCTCGTTGGAGAAAACGTCCCGTCCGCTGAAATTCACCACAGACTCCAACAACAGTATGGGGAAGAGCGTCTCTCATGGACCCATGTGTTTGAGTGGTGTAAGTGCTTCAGAGAGGGCAGAGAGCGCATGGAGAATGAACCGCATGATCATTGGCCGCAAACATCCGTCACCAAGCCAAACACTGTCGTGCAGACGCACTTATTCGTGAGAATAGGCGCATCACTGTCAAGGAACTTGGAGCAATGCTGTCCATCAGTGTTGGTAGTGTAGAAGACATCGTGAAATATCACCTGCACAATCGCAAGGTGAATGCACGGTGGGTACCACGAACTTTGACAGACGTGAACAAAATGGTGCGCATGCAAGTTGCCAGTCATCTCCTACAGCAGTTTGAAGACAAAGGTAATGAATTTTTGAAGTCTATAGTGACCACCGATGAAATGTGGGTCCACTACTTCATTCCCAAGTCCCAGCAATCATCACGTGAGCGCGGAGGAGCCGTTCGGCAGGAAAAGTGATGGCAATGTTCTTCTGGGACTGGCAGGGGCTTATCCATGTAGACTTTCTGACAGATGCCAGAACAGTCAATGCAGCTTATTACTCAGACCTCCTGGCAACAGACGTGAAGGAAAAGATCCGAGCCAAGCGGGAGAGGTGGAAAGCGGGTAGACTTCCTTCAAGACAATGCACGCCCCCATACGGCCAAAACAACAATGGAAACCCTCCGGAAATTGAAATGGAACCTTCTGACACATCCGCCATACAGTCCCGATTTGGCACCAAGTGATTTCTACCTGTTCGGAAGGCTCAAATCAGACTTGCAAGGCATGCGGTTTGTGGATGACACCACCATCATCCAGAATGTTTGGGAGTGGATACGCCACCAACCACAAGACTTTTTTAAAAGGGCATCAGGATGCTTCCAGAATGTTGGAAAAAATGTGTTGACTCCGGATGGGAGTACGTTGAAGACTGACATGTGCAAGTAAGTGTTTGGCAATTTTGGTTTAAAAAAGAAAAATCAGTCCCGGTCATATTTGAACCACCTTGTACAATGCTGAAACATCCATCAGCACAACATATATAATCAGCATTTAGAAGTCCAGAAATTCTCCCTTATTTTCAGCAGCTTACAATTTAGATCTGTATAAGCACTAAACAGTACACAAATTATTCAGGTGGTCAAACAATTCCATGTTATGAAGATTGCTGCTATAAAAGTCATCAAACTCTGTCCTCACTAGTGATATACTAATACCGAATTGTTTAGACTCACACCTAACTGCCTTAAATTGAGCTCTGAATCCTGAATTTATCTTGCATCAATACATGTTCAAACACCAAAAATGGTAATAACAAACTGAGCCAGAACTTCTTTCCTTAAAATATATTCAAGGTTGGAACCCAACTTCAAGCTCCAGGCTCTTCTTTATTCACCAACCTTGCAAAAAGTTCACAATCCCTCAGTACATATTAGATACTTCTTTAAGGGGCATCCACACAAAATCGGCTCACCACATTCTATATATATGTGCACTTGCATGTTTTCACTGGGTGGATGTGGTTAAATATACTGCTGAACATCCAACTTCCATGTCAGTCCATAACATACAAAATCTTCACAGAGAAGTGCAATTTTCAGCACAACCTCCTCTGATTTCAATGGATGTTTGACAGCTTGCAGACTTCATAGAAAATTGTACTCTTGCAAATTTCAGCACATTATGTCCTGCAGCTTTTGTAGGGAAGCGGTGCAAACATTATGAAAAATTCAAATTTTGGCATGTCACCTCCACCAAAAATTAGAACCTTCACTATGTACAAGTTACAGAGTTCAAAAAAGGCTTGTCTGAAGCCTAATGCATGTGTGCACACACATACATACACACATACACATATACATATGTGGTTCATAATAACGTAGTCTAGCATACAAAAAAAAATATCCTGGGAAAGCCACGAGATCTCTTATAATAAAATCATGAACATATACAGAGTAGAAAACAGAAATTTCCATTACATTATATAAGATCTGAGGTTTTCACGGCATGATATGAAGAAATCCATCTTCTGGGATGTGGCGCCTTCTAGATATTGTGTTAACCGACGTTTCAGAGGCATGTATCACCTCCATCTTCAGGGTAGAAGAAAAAATAAGAAAATCCGCGTGTGAGGAACCAGCGTGACCAGGTGCTGACAGACTAATGTTGAGTTTAATAAGCCCAGCTGTACAAGAGCAGGAAGAGAAGGGAGAGGGAAGGTTCTGTGGAGATGGACCCACAGATAGCCACCCAGACTAGAATATTGTGTTGGGGGGAGGGGGGACAAAGGCAAGGTTAATAGAAGGGCATTAACAAATGCCTTCATGGCACAGTGCATAATTAGTTAAGAACAGGGATAACTTTACTTTTACCTTTCTGAAGCAGCAATATGTTTCACCTATAGCACAGCTCTAACTCTGTGTTTACAAAATTTTATCAATTTAGCTGCCTTCAAAGCAGAGTCTACATATACATCTGTCTCTTGTGATATTAGTCTTAGAGATTTCCAAGGGGCTAATCCATAAATGCACCCAATGCTTCTGTTCTTGCAATGTCATGTTTTTATCAACCACTGACCTTGTGGTGCACCACTTCTTAGTAACTTTGGACATGGAAGATTTTGTAAACACAGAAGAATCAGGATGTTTATGGATGAGTCTTTCTTTGCACTTCATGTAAGTCCTCTTTCATATGCATGTTTCAAGAACAAATATTCTCTGATCAGTAGGGTACATCACGGGTTATAAAGAAAAAGATAAACTGTTGAAATGATCACATAAATACAACTTCCACTTTGTTTCCAGAACTGACTGGCTACAGCTAGCAGAAATGACAAGAGGTAAGGCCAAATATGTAGCTGGCCTACCTGCGACACTGTCATGTTCCCTCTTATTCTGAGCACAGTGTATTATCAGATTCATACCCTGGTGAGTTGAAAAATTCTTATGACATTTGAAATTCTCATGGCTGTGGGCATTTTCTTTCTGATGTGATGGCATATAGTTTGGTGTACAGGTATCAATATTTTGAAGGAATCTGCTACTGTCCTCATCTTCAAGTTATTCAAACAATGACTTTACAATGAAGACGACAGCTTCAGGTTCTTCCAAAACACTGGTACTTAAAACCAAACTACATAGTTTCACATTCCAGATGAAAATGATCCTGAAAAATATTTTACAGCAATATGGCTGTGAGGTAATTTCTAACCTTGCACAATAACTAGATAATTTCACATAAGAAACACCAATACATTGCACACTATTGTAATGGGATCAGAAGCAGTCTAGTATTTTTACACTGTCGCCATATTTATCTACGATGAAAACATCAGTCTGTTTTCAAATTCCAATATCATTGTCAGAATAATACATATTTTGCCACACCCATCATGAAATATCATCCAGCTACAACAGCTGGAAGAAGTAACTATGAAACAGCTCATCAAGGTCACCTCCAGTGGCATCTTTATACACCAAGTTTCACAATACTCTTCTGGCTTGCAGTTACCATAGGGATACATAACTGACAATTATTTCTTTACAGAAAAAACTAAAAACATTAAAAAAAATTAACACTTGAGTTTATTATCATTTCCATAATAGCAAAGCATTCATATCAACAAAAAACACCTGTAATCATATTAAGTTACTGCCAATAAATCATCATCAGTTTGTGTCTTAACACACACATACCTCAATTTTGGGTGCAATCAGCTTACATGGTCCACACCACTGGGCAAAGAAGTCTACAACAACCAAGGCATTCCCTGCCTCTGTAAGCTTGGTTTCAAACTCATTCTAAAATAACAAAATTATAATTACAATTTTAAATGTTTCTTGGTAACCCGTTGACATAAGACAAATATCACAATTTGCACATCATAATTAATTAAATTAATCTGAACGCCAAAATCACGTGCATTCTCGCATGACACATTTCCTGAAAATGTGCTCTCATTTTGCTCCAATGCAATAAAAATTAATTTCATTCTTCTAACCAGTACTAGTTAGCCTAGCCAGTGTCATAACTTCCGCCGGGGAACAAAGTGAATTAATTTTCTTTATACATTCTTATCTTCCTAAGCAAACCCTTGTCCCAAGTCTATTCAGCACTATCTTACGTACCACGAACGCTTGTTTCCGATTATGAACAGCATATCAGCATTATGTACAATGTAACTTAATTGCTTACATACTTAAATTACATAACGTACTTACCGAGTCTTTAATGTGAATTGCCATTGCTCTTATAATTTAAATTAAATAGACTTAACGCTACCAGGAAAGACGCGTTAAATGACTACCCTTGACTCTACGCCAGACGCAACTCCCAAGCCTGCCCTTCAAATTCCCCAAATGAATCAGCAAACAACGCCTATCTATTCAATCAACTACCAACAACTCAATATAACACACACACCACTCTCTCGTGCCAGATCAGAGTACTACGTAATACAGCTATGATTCACTGTAGCTGGCAACACTGTTGAGCAAACAACCGCGTTATACTGCAGGATACTTTACAATTAAAGTACTGTAAACATGTGAAGAAATTAAAATCGCCGTATTTCTAAAACATTTCATACTGAACGTATAAACATGCTGTATATGTTATAATAATGAAACTAATGATGAATTTTACAGGATACTTAGTGATTCGAAAATGAAATGGGTGCAAGATGTATTTAGAGCGTACTTCACATGCCGGTGAAGTGACAGGTTTTGTTACTTAAATTGTTAGCATGCTCTTTTCAGCATAATTTTATAACCTTCATAATGCAATGCAAGGCAGGTAAATGCGTGCCTTTCTTATGAAGAATGCTCGTATCAAATCGCTGTAGAAACAAAAAAAAAAGTGTAAATGACATATCAAAATAGACGTTGTATGAAAGCTGCGGTTATATTCCCACTCTGACTGTAAGTAGGTCGAATTCTGAAACAGCTGAAGGATGAATTCCTTCCGGGTGCCTTTGGCATCTCAGACGACCAACGTCGCTTACTGGGGTGGTCAACAAATATGGAATGATCAAAATATGTGGTGTGACAGAAATCAGTTTTGTGTCCATATATGAGCATATATACGTTTAACGAAAAACATGAGAAAAATTCCAAATCCTGCCGACATTTTCGAAAAGCTGCATCTCTTCATTCTCAGCATTTAATCAAATTTACCATTGTAGGGTGGATAATAAGGAGCTTAAGGGCTCGTTTCGCGTCGCTACATTCATCAGTCCACCAAGGGATAGGCGTGCATCGTGATCTGGTGGATGACAGTGGGATGGAACTCGAAGCAGCTCGGTGGAGATTGTTTCTTGAAATCATCCACCATGGAATCAATAGCTGGAAATTCTCGGTCCTCAAAAGTCACTGACCGCGTGAAAGCTTCCCAAATCTGCATGTCTGATAACCCAGTCAGGGTGTCGAGATTCGAGTGAGGTTCTTGTGGAAATGTGCAGGCTTACGGGATAGCGGTTACTTCCGTGCAAGTCATCAAGGACGGATCACTCGAGATGAACTGCTAGCCCGGGACTACAGAAAGCGAGATAGAGGGCCGACGAACATCCTGACCTCAAGCTTAGGTGCGTGATTGATCACGTGCTTATCAGAATTAGATCAAACCCGGCACATACATCGGAAACTACTTTGCCTCTGTCTTCAGTTATGGCTAATCCCCACAGGAAACTGTGGGCGTTGAAATTGCCTAAAAGAATGAATAGTGGAAGTGAGCGTGAAATCAGACTTGTCACTTCTGAAGGAGAGGCTGGAACTGCTGGAGGGTGATAAATGTTGCAAACTGCAAATAACGCAGTAGGAAAGGGGATACGTGGAGCGGTAGCTTGTAGTGGGGTTTGGATGTTGGCCGGAAAAGAAAATATGCTTTCGCTTCATTGTCACCGACACCGAGCACTAGTTACAAACGTCGACGATTAAAATACATCTGAGAACATTTTGTTGATCGGCTGACTGTCAGTTCTCTGTTTGTGACGTTACATATTGGTAATAGACCCATACTTAACTGTGTGGAATATGCATTGAATAATATTTTTTTCTTTGTGGGTTATTTTGTGACGCTGTCGGCATTGGAGACAATAGAGTTTAGAGTGGTAAAGTGACAGGTGAATACTGAATTTCAAAAGTTTTGGAAGTAAGTGGCCTCGTTCTAATAGAGGCATGTCCCAAAAATTGCCTGGAGTAGTTGAGGAAAATAAATGAAAAGTCTTAGTCAGAATAGACACTAACCTGCCTGAGATTCGAACTGAATACTTCAGAGTACAAATGTAGACAGTTACCGCTATATCAACCTGCTCAGTTAGAAGTTAGTTTACTTTAATATGACAATATTTTCTATCTGCTCTCCAATTTGGGTTTATGTTCTGGATCATGATAATATATAAATAAATTTCCAAGTTATGATAAAATATTTTATGCTTTTTGTCTGTATTTTTAGTTCAGTGGTTCCCAACCTTTCCCGATTTGATAAAAGCTGATCATTCCTGCTACTGAAAATGTCATACCTGACAATGTTTCGTTCCACATTTGTTCATGACTTAGGTCACTGAACATTTACAATAAAAGAAGTGGCGCTGAAATCGCCAAACACTAACACCAACATTAACATTAAAAAATATATAAACTTATTAATTTTAATTAAACTAATACAGTGAATCCTAGCCGTTTCCCCCGTTTGATCACATCTCCAGTTTCACTAATACAAGCCAATCTCGTTTTCTTATTTTACAGAAAACTACGTGAATCTGATATTGTTTTACTTCATATCTGTATAGCATAAGGTTTTGGGAGTTGAATAATTGCAAGAGTAAAACTTGTTTTCGAAGAACAAAACACTAACATTAACATGAAAATTACAGAAACACACCAATTTTAAAGAAACTAATTGGGCTTATGTTACTTAATAATCCTCAAAAGAATGAATTTAAATTAAAGAATTTTCTATTCATCAAAACCTACATATGCTTAAAGAATATTAGACATTAACTCTGAACGCTCCTTTTTAATGACCACTAAGTCAGAAAATTCTCGTTCTGAAAATGAGAGAGATATTAAAGGTGAAAACTCATGAGAACTCTTTTCGTGAAGGCGACAAAGCTGCCCTAATCCGATTTTCACTTGCACTGTAGCCCAAGAATCTGAATGTAAGTTAATTTGAATAAAGGATTTATCCTTGAATTATAATGACGTTTGAGGAATTTCTCTTCATCCAAATCTGAGTGACTGCATCCAACCACATTCACTGAAAGTAATAGATATTTGACCCGCCCCATTTTCCGTATATATTCTTGACTTTTGAATGACCTCCTAAAACATGAAGTGTGTAACAATGAGCACGATTATTTGAACGACAATTAATATCAAGCCCCTCCGCACCAAGAGTGTCATGTGTGAAGTCAAACGCATATCATGGAAGACTTCTGTTTCTAACCTCTCAGTCTACCTGCTCTAATGTTGTCTGGATATAATTACGGCGCATGTCAGGTGGACACAAATGTACTTCTATACCTGGGATATAGGCTGCGCCATAGCTCAAGCGGTTAATCGCTGGCTTCCCACCGCCGCGGCCCGGGTTCGATCTCGGGTCTGGTCAAGTGGGATTTGTGGTGGACAAAGTGGCGATGGGGCAGGTTTTCTCCGAGTACTTCGATTTCCCCTGTCAATCTTCATTCCACCAATTGATCCACAATCGCCCTCACCTATCATCTGGGGCTGGTACAATAGGCCAGAAGTGGCCGCAGTACAAGGGACTTAGTCCCACCCCACTAGCAATAAAAGAAAATACCTGTGATATCAGTCGACGGCAATGCCATCACATACCAGGAAGACAACGTCAACACACATGGGATCCATTTAACTTTGTTTTTAGCTCCAACAAGTATGACCCCTCTTTTAAGCTGCTGAAAGAAACCACATAAACACCGGCGCCTTAGCTTCGCTTCTCGGCTCTCAGAGCCGCACAGCGTAGAGTTGCACGTGGATGAACTGCTTGTAACAGGAGGCTTCAGAAAACTATACCATAAGGAGCTTCATCACTTGAATTCTTCGCCATTATGGCTCTCAAATAAGTGCGAGCGGAACATGTAACGTGCAAAGGAGAATTCAGAAAAGCATACGAAATTTGATAAGGAAAATCTGGAAGGAAGAAACCGCTTGGAAGGCCCAGTCGTTGATGTGCCGATGCTATTAAAATTGATATTAATTACATAGGCTCTGAGGATATTGACTGAATTCGTATGGCTTATGATGAGATCCAGTGAGAAGCTTTCAATTAACCAGAATTGAAGCATCGGGCCCCATAAGAGGTGGAGAAATTCTTCATTAGTTGCAGAAATATTAGCTTCTGATGAAGGATTCTTCTCCATGGCGCTAGTTAAATTTAGTAGCTGATATGCGCTTCCATACAATGCAATCATAAATATTAATAATAACGCTATTATGCGTTCATTTGCTCGCCTTTCTCCCCACATGTGAAAACGTTTGGGATCCAGTATATCACAATTGTGTTACTTAGCTTGTCACTGCAATTGAAATAGAACCAAAGGTCTATTTATGTGGAAGTTCTTCTATGTACTACTTGGATTCATTTTAGAGCATACATACATTGTCTCGCACTGCAGTCCATCAGGATGCTTGCTGTATTTATCAAATGGACCATCACATAGCGAACAGACATAGTTCTGTTTCGGACTGAAAAAAAAAAATACTAAAATTATACTTGTGGGGTTTCTATACTAATAAACTTGTTTCCTGGAACTGGATCAGGAAATGTCAGTAGCTATTACTTCTGAAACTGCAGAAGAAAAATAATTATGACGCATTCTCGAACACACACGAATTGCAACAATCACCACTATTGTCACGTGAAAGCTAACGTACATCTTACCTCTGAAATTTTGTATGAACATACTGAACAACGGAATTTTTATGTGGCAAAAAAAAATATACAGAGTGTTGAAAATTTCCCTTCCCATGTTAAAATTGCTACCGTATTGATTTTTACGATTGTTGTGGTTCCAAACTGGCAACACGGTGTCGTCAGATGTGTCGGTAAACATGGCAGACGATGATATGGAGTATTACATAAAATTTCCTTCGCCAAGCGCGAAAGATTCCACACCTACTAGCGAAACTGAAGAATTTGTGTTTGTTTACGATGAAGACAAGTTGCCCGTGGTTATGTTGTTAGGATGGGCAGGTTGTCAAGACAAATATCTTTCTAAATACAGTGCTATCTACGAAGAAAGAGGGTAGGGGAAAATTATCGGTGTTTTACTTACGTGTTTTGTTTAAATTGCTTCTTCTTAAGGCCTATATGGTATTAAAAAATAGATAATTTTGTACGCAAAACTAAGCGTACGATGTAAAATCTTTATATCGAATATATATTTTTCAACTTTAGCTATCGATGGAAAGTGGCGGATCACCGGCAGAGGCATTTCCATAAAAATTAATTAAATCAAAGAAATTTATGAAAAAGAGCACACAACAGCCAGATAAAATGGTCCCGTGCCTTGAAATGCGGACGAGGATAAAATGATAGAACACGTAGGGATCGCACTTATGAATCACGGTCGGTGTATGCATGCATATTGACGTTCATTACCTTACTTGCCCTTCATACCAAAAACAAGGTTTAGTAGTACTTAAGAATTTTTACTTTCCTTGTATTCAGGGTTCCAGCTGTATAACACATGTTCTGAATGTATCTGAAAGTTTGCAATTCAGCAGCAGTATGGACTGTATCTCATATGTTCGCTTGTTGGCCAAGAATACAGTTGGACATAGGTTCAAACCTGGCACGATTTTGATTTTTTTTTTTGTTGCAGTTTTGCTATTTTTGCTATTGTTTGTCAGGTATAATTTAAAATTTTCGTAACAGTGACTTATTTATGATTGTTAACTTTTGAACAATATTTCATACATAAATTGTATGATTGTTTATGATTTAATTTCCTGAAAAAGACATACTCCAAACTCCAGTGATTATCACTGCCAATAGCAGAAACGCCAGGACTTAAGAGCCAACTCAAAAGAAGTTTTAACCCATTTATTAAATTTGGATGTAATCATGGGTTTTAAATTCACAGTTCATTGTAGAGGATTTATTTTTATGCAAATTTCTGACGATTTCATTTAGCAGTCATATTTAAATTACATTTGGCACATTAATTTTTTAATCACACACTGCCACTGAACTCTTGGTTTCTTCTATCTTTATGAAAGCATATACTTGTTAGTATTATTTACTAATAAGAGACCCCATAATTCTAACCAGAAAATCGTGATATATATCTTATTGTTTTGTAAGCACAGTACATTGAAATACTGTAAATTACTGAAGCATATCTTGTTTAGTACCAGATGTTTTATTTCAGGATAGTTTGTTTTTATTACAATTAATCATATTTAATATCATACACTTTTGGAATAACAAATGTGTAGTGTATTTTATCTTGTATATCAGTGGCATGGTGAAACAGTTTTCTTCCTAATACCTGATGGTTTACCACTGAGTTACCTGATGAACTGTTGTGAAGAAATTAAAATAGGATTATGATTCAACCGGGATACCACAGTCGGTATAGTGACTGGCTATGGGCTGGACGACCAAGGGGTCGGAGTTTGAGTCCCGGTGGAGGAAAAAATTTTCGCTTCTCCATGTCTTCCAGACTGGCTCTAGGACCCACTCAGCCTCCTATCCAATGGGTACTGGGGGCTGTTTCCCCAGGAGTAAAGCATCCCAGGCATGAAGCTGACCACTCACCTTCATCTAGTACCAAGGTCAAGAAAACGTGGAGCTATACATCCACTTTCCAATATGTCTTAATGGCGTAGTGATTGATTAGTTATGCAAAGGGAAAACTTTACCTTTTTGCCTTTACCTTATCATTCAGTACCTAGTAAGTGACAGGTTGTTAGAGGGACATGTTTATAACTTGTCCAAAATTATTCACCATTCATGCACTAGTCTTGTATGCTACCCTGATATAATTTTTTACAGTTTGACTTGATCCCTTCTTACACATTTGTGTTTTCATTTATATAATTAATTACACATTAATTATGTGCTGGAACAGATGCATCACTGTCCGCTACACAGCACCTGTTGATTGCTTATTTTGGAGGAGAGGACATATGCACCAGCTGGGACGTCGACTTGTAGAACTTATCACTGATATGAGCTTGGAGGAACATCCAATATTTTTTCATGTTTTCTCTAATGGGGGAGCATTCCTATACCAGCATGTCAGCCAGGCAATACAGATGTGCAGCAAACCATTGAAGGTACAAAAAGAAGTGGTGTTATGCTTATACAGTTACATTTAAGCTCAAAAACACAGTAATTCTAAGTACATTTAAGCTCTTTAAGAATACTTTTGTGGATCGCTGTATGGGTCTCTGTAATTTTGGGTACTAATATTAGATATATATTCTTTCAGATTTTTAAGTTCATTTTTTCCAAAAATCCAAGGAAAGAGAGGTGCCTGGTGGGCTTCACACTAATCCTCTCCTCTCATGATGCCATGGTATCCGTGGTAAATTTAAATATGGATTATTCTGCTTTAATAGTTTGCAACTATCAGAAGTCTCACATTGCATTATTCTCTGCAACTCACTCACTCAATCCCTCTGAGTTGAGAAAATTCAAATAGTGCAGCAACATGTTATGGAAGGGATGGACAAAACATACCACATTTATACACTAAATTGTGTCCAGAATTTTAGTTGCTACGTATTTTGTTTATTTAGTCAGGTTCTTTCTGGAAATGCAGTTTGTATTCTGATGCCAAGCTATGGACTTCATAAGGATGGATCATTTATTAGTTATAGATTTACTTAAACTGTTGCATACCTTGCAGGCCTACCAACTTGCTTGCCTCGGGGTACTGCATTGAGACCACTACACTTAAAGAGACTTGCTCATTGTTAATCAATTGGCATAGGATTTCTGTCAGTAGATAGTGTCATGTGTGATGTACTGGTGTATAGAGGAAACAAAGGGCTTCCATGTCCTTTATTGTGTAAAGATTATTTGAGCAAAGTGTTGTGGGTTTTTCTGTGCAACTGTACTTACCACCATCAGCCTTGGCATTTTAGCAGATAGCTCTATGGTGGGGGGGGGGCACACGGTAGTGTAGCTGGTTGAGACACTATGCTACAAGCCAGAAGGATTGAATCCTGATGGGATGGGTTCTTTTCAATTTACCTAATCCTTCCAGCTGCAATGGCCCTGGGGTCGACTCAGCATCTAACAGAAATGAGTACCAGGAATCTTCCTGGTGGTGAAGGGCAGCTGACACATAAGGCTGACACCCTCACTGCCATTTGTGAGCCGATTGGGATCCTCAATGTCTCACAACCCTAAGGCCTTCCATGGCCTGTTACTGGGATATGTTTACCTACCTGCCCTCTGTGGTAGGGCTTGGCACTCAAAGGGTTGAAGAACAGATTTTGTTAGGACATGGAACATGGAATGCAAACTTGAAAATGCCTAGATAAGTCTGTTATCATTGCTGTTATCATTACTATCCCATGTTTTTTTATGATATCCCCTTTCACCAATGTCTATAAGGATTACAATAATAAATAATGGAAATGACTTGTTTGGTTTTCTCTTTTGCAGGTATTATATGATCACAAACACTAATTGTTGCTGACTGATTGATACAGATTATAAGTTGATGTGATATTTTGTATTTCAGAGAAATTAAACATTGAAAATATTTAATACATTTCTGTGTCAAAATGCCTTTGTTTCTTAAAAGTTATTTGGTTTCACAAGTCACATAAATGCAGCATAACTTTCGGGATAGGGATGGTTAAAACCCATTTAAAATATAATGAAAACTGAAACGCTTCTTCTAATTTGTATAACATGAAATAGCTACAGATATTTCTAACACGAGCAATATTTGACTAGAATATTATGAGTTCACCCATTGTGACTTAGGGAGATGTTAATGGAGACGTGATGAATTGTTCCTGTTAAGTAAAAAGTAAGTAAAAGTATCCCTGTAACAGGCCGTGGAGGCCCATAGGGTTGTAAGATGTTGAGGTTCCCACATTTTCTAGACAATCGCAGATGGCGGTAAGGTTGTCAGTCTTACGTGTCAGTTGCCCTTTACCCCCAAGAATATTCCTGGTACTCATTTCTGTTAGAGGCCGAGTTGACCCCAGGGCCATATTGAGGCTGGAAGGATTAGGTCAATTAAAAAATCCAATGACCTCATCGGGACTTGAACCTGTGACCTTCCACCTTTTAGCATATTGCCTCAACCAACTACAGTACTGCATGCCCCTGATTTGTTCCTGTTAACTGTGATAAATACATATGATCTGAGAGCCTTTTACATGACCAGTAATACAATTTAAAACATCTGCTGAAGATTAATGATAACAAAAAAGATTTATATAATTTTAGTGGGGTGTACAAACTACAATGTTCCGACTGTCCTCTAAAATATATAGGACAAACTGGATAGACCTTTAATGTCAGATTTAAGGAACACATACGTGACATAAAAAATAATGAACAAAGTTCCAAATTTGGCCAACACATATTTGACACCATGGATGAGTACAGTACGATTGACAATACATTAGAAGTTTTATATATTGGCAAGAAAGGCCGAACTTTAGACATATATGAAAGATTTTACATTTATGAAATTANAACCGATTTGATGTTATTAAACATCAATCAAATTTTAATTTTAATTTTAATTTTATATATGACTTGTTATTGTTTTAAGTAACCTACTTATTGTATTCTTGTGCAAATTAACTTAAATGATTTATAACATTGTATCAAATTTTACGTACTGCAGTTCGATGGTGTACAAACGAAGTGCGTTTGTCTGATGATGGCCACTCGTGGCCGAAACATGTAGCAGAACTATACTGAGCATTGTCCTTGAACTTCTATATTTGCTGTGTTGTGAGGGTCAAATAAAGAGGTTGTATAATGCATACAGACCTATGTACAGGATATACCTAAAATCATATATGTGACAGATATATTCTTATGCATATGGTCTTTACTTGCATGCAATAATTATGTCATGAAACTGACATCCAGATGGATGAAATTCTTTCTTCAAAGATTCTAAGTATAAATATAAACTCTTTGAAAGCAGATTCTGTCCACAAGTAATCCATTAACTTTCATTTGTGTTCGAGGAATATGGAAAGCAAGAATTTTGATTGAATTTCAGCAAAAAAAAAAAAAAAGATTACTGTATCTGGCATCTGACATGAGAGTTGATGTTTTTGTGATTGATCCCCATATCTATAAGTTTGCATTTCTCTGAGTGAATCCAGATGCCATAGAAAGTATGATAAGTGTAATTTTCATTTCACTGTATTCCTTTTAAGTACAATATTAGCATTTTTAATTGTGGTTTTAATTTCTGTTTTTTTCTTTTCCTTTTAAGCTGAATGAGTTCATGAACGAAATCCTTGGAAACACTGATACTTGGCATTAATTTGTTGTGTGTTATTGTTTTGATTTGAGTTTCTGTCAGGCATTTCTCTTTTTTTTTTCTTCTTATTTTTTTTAGGCTGAAGGAGTTCCATGAACAAAAACTTTCGGAAACACTGACACATGACATTAATTTGACTGTGTGTCCCTGTAAATTATCATCCCATAAGTTGATATGGGTTAATGGTTCTGAATTACAGTCGCAAGAGAAAGCTGGTATGGCCCGTTATGTGTATGCATGCATATGTGTGTGTTGCGTTTTACATGTGCACATGTATGGGGGACATATATGCTTATTTGTGCTTGTGTGCAAGTTTATGTATATGTAGTGGGTTATTCAAAGTCATATGGCCAAATTTTAGGAGGCTGTTGAGATAATTTGGGGCAGAAGATGTAAATAGACAGTTATATTATATGTCACTATTTCAGAGATAGGATGTTTCAAAATGTTATTCTCCTTTTTTTTATGTTCATATGTTGGAGCTTTCAGAACATCACAAAAGGGAACTCATACTGCATTTGCTTGTGACTCATATAACTTTTGATGTAAAAGTAGTGGTAACAGTTAAAGGTGATGCCAGGATTTACTAATGCAGAGTACAATGGTGTGCGCATACATTTTGTATATGGCTTTTAGTATACAAATGCTATGAGTTGCAGTAAGGAGATACCAATGTCAGTATCCAGATCATAGGAAACAGAACAGATATGTTTTGCATCTGTATACTACACCCTTCATTGCAGCATGCAGAATAAAGAGGAAGTGTTTGGTGCTGTACATGTTAATCCATCAACTGGCACTCATTTTATCATATATGAAACAGACCTCTGTCAGATTGCAGTTGTATCCTTTTTATGTACAACGTGTACAAGGGCCACAGCCATGACTGTCATGATGGTATGTGTACAAACCTGGAAATGAACCTGACTTTTGTGCCATATACTGTGAAACGATGAGGCAACATGCACAAGGAGTGGAGTTAATGGTTTCCGCAGCTTACATGAACAGGTACTGGAGAATCACAGTACACTCTTCATTTCAAGACAGGTTTAGCGTTAACAGGTGGACTAGAATTGGATAGTATTTGATAATGAATCATGTTTCTAGCATCCATTAGCCGATTTTTATGAAATAACACATCTGCTTTTATTGAAGGAAGTATCCCTTAATGTTTGCTAGTGCATATGGTTTCAGCGTGTGGTGCATCTACCCATTTTCCACATCCCATGTGTAATTGGTTGAACAACCATTTTCAGACACATGGATTGACTGTGGGGTTCTGATCATCTGGCCTTTTCATTGTGAAGCCAATTTTTCTTCTGATGGAGATGCATCAGAGAAAATGTTCAGGTACAGAAGCAGAAGTCTGCGACAGTGTGATCACTCACATCTTAGTAGCTGCAACAGATGTGAGGGGCCAACTTAGATGACTGATTCATGTCAGGGGCTCTATTTAACATCACTGTGATATGTACGTGTGAGCTGCAGGATAACAGTTTGTGTAAAGAAATATGTAGAATTGTGTTGTGTGAACCCTCAGTGCACAATGAGACATTTGTGTTAAACATATTCTAAATTCAGACTTAAAAGAGCTGATAACTTCGAAATATTTACTGTTTTTAAATTGTAATTAAAAGTAATAAATTTGAATCCACACAGTGTGGAACATACCATGTTGCATCTTAGGAATTACAGCTGTGAAGGTGTGACACAGAACTGATGCATTGGAACTTAAGGACTTTGGTTCCATTGACCTTGAAATCGGCAGTGGCCTGACATATAGTGTGTTTTTTTCAGTGCATATGACATTGAAAAGTTGATTTTGGTATTGACTGTGAACTGCATTTTACCTTAAAATAACTTCCATATTAAATGTACACATTACCTACCAGAAGATAGTGATGGTATTTTCCAGAAAAATTATGCATATGCATCATCCTGGAAGCTGAGAAGATGATTAAGAAGTGTGGCATCCGGAAAACCCAGTGGCATGACTTTCATAATAATTTCTGTGAAGGTCATCATAGATTCAGTAGTTGCATGGATTGACAGATGCAGAGAGAAATTAGTCACGAATTATTTTTCTCTTTTAGAATATAAGGCTAAAATTAATTTAAGCTGGCAATTCAAATGGCTGTTGTAAACATTATTTGATCTAATTTGGAGACTTTCATACGTATGGGTCAAATTTTTTGACACTTTGCATCTGTATTGTATGAGTGTGAAACTTGGTCTCTGATGTTAAGGGAGGAACACAGACTGAGGGTGTTGAGAATATTTGGACTGAACAGAGATGAAGTGACAGGAGGTTAGAAGAAACTGCATAATGAGGAGCTGCATAACTTCTACTCTTCCCCAAGTATAATTAGAATGATCAAGTCAAGGAGGATGAGGTGGGCAGGTCATGTAGCAGAATAGGGGAGATGAGGAATGTGTATAGGATATTGGTGGGAAAGCCAGAAGGAAAGAGACCACTGGAAAGACCAAGGTGTAGGTTGATGGACAATATTAAAATGGTTCTTAGAGAGATAGGATGGGATGGTATGGATTGGATTGATGTAACTCAGGATAGGGACCAGTGGCGGGCTCTTGTGAATACGGTAATGAACCTTCGGGTTCCATAGAATGCTGGGAAATTCTTGAGTAGCTGCAGAATTGGTGGCTACTCCAGAAGGGCTCAGTTCCATGAGCAAGTAAATGCATCTATATTTTTCATCAGATTTTAAATAGTTTATAGATTTGAGTCAGTATGATTGATGCTATTTGCTGGTGATTCCATTGCTGATTTTAGCAAATGCAAGTGATAAAGGGAGACTGTGTATTACAGGTTAAAGGTGTTATATTTGACAGTGCCCCAGGCAAGAGACGAATCATGTCTCTCTTTCGAGCACTAGCAGCAATCATTGGGGGTCCTGCCTACTGTAACATTCCAGCTGCTATTCTTATCACTGTGTTTCTTGCTGTGGTATGGTTATTTGAAGTGATAGCACAATCACTTAAGGAAGGGAGACCACTCCGGACAGATCCAATAGATCTGGTTGAAGAACCCTTCACTTGGCCTCAGCTGTTTCTTTACTCAACTGCAGATAAATTGATTCGGTATCAGGTAAGAAAAATTGAAGCAAGCAAATGAAGTAGTGGGATGTGCTGTGCAGATCTGTCTGTGTTAAATGATTAGTGTCTTGATATGTTTTGCCTCTTAATGTTGTAATTTAACCTCAAAATACCAAATGTGGCAGGTACAAGTAAGTAACCACATGTATGGGAATACAGAATCTTAGACATTTCTGTAGAAGATTCATAAGTTTAAAAACAAAAAAAAAGTAAAGCTATCCCTGTAACAGGCCATGAAGGCCCATAGGGATGTGAGACGTTGAGGGTCCCACATTATCTAGACAGTCGGCTCAAAGATGTTAGTAAGGTTGTCAGCCTTACGGGCTGGCCGCGCTTTACTCCCCAGGAAAATTATTTAATTAATTCCTGGTACCCATTTCTGTTAGAGGCTGAGTTAACCCCAGGGCCATAGTGGGGCTGGAAGGAGTAGGTCAATTGAAAAAAAATCCAATGATCTCATCGGGACTTGAACCAGTGACCTTCTGGCTTGTAGCATAGTGCCTATTGCAAGTGTTATATCCTTATAAGCCTATTTCAGCTATTGTTAGGCTCTGAAAAAAAAATCTTTTCAGTTATTAATAGAAATAAATATTCTGTAAGATTTCAGGTTCTCACAGCAGTGATTATGAAGAGTTCTGTCTTCTGGGATATAGCGCTGTGTAGTTCATTGAAAATCAACCATAATCTTGGAGGAACACATTACTTCCATCTTCCGTTCTACTTGCTGTCTGCTTCTTGCTGGTTTCTTGCTTGGTTTACTCTTCAAGCCTGAAGATGGAAGTGACATGTTTCTCTGAAACGCCAGTTGACTTTTAATGGGCTACATGATGTTTTATCCCAGGAGGTAGAACTCTTCGCAACAAATATTTTGTTGAATAATCCTTGCCACATCTTGTTTTGTGCTTGTTTAATGAAATGATATAAAAAAAATCACTGGCTTATTATAGTGTTCCATTTTACTGGTCCTCACTTCTCTTATATGAGGGGCAGTCAAAAAGTTCCTGGAATGGTGGTATAGCACTCTAATGGTAGGACATATGGTAACGCTTACCTAATCACCTTCAAAGTAGGACCCTTGCGTGCACACACACTTGCTCCATCGATCCTACCATTGTTGGAAGCAGCGATGGAAGGCTTCTTTTGGGATCTTCCAGAGCTTAGCCGTCACATTCAATTTGATGTCCTCCATGGTTGCGAAAAGTGTCCCCTTGAGGCCAATTTTCAGAGTAGGGAACAGCCAAAAGTCACTTGGAGCGAGATCCGGAGAGTACGGGGGTTGAGTGATGACAGGAATTTTTTTCTCGGCGAGGAATTGTTGCACAACGAGTGATGTGTGGCTCGGTGCGTTATCGCGATGCAGAAACTACTGTCCCTGCCACTTGTTGTGCCACTTCCTCTGCAACCTCTGCAAGACTTGCACATAGAAATGGCCAGTAGCAGTCTGTCCAGATGGTACAAACTCATGGTGCACCAAACCGTCAATGTCAAAGAATGCAATGAGCATCACTTTGTCTTTAGATCTGACGAGGCGTGATTTTTTTGGCTGGGGAGACGACGCTGTGTGCCACTCTGATGACTGCATCTTCGTCTCTGAGTTGTAGGCGAACGCCAATGACTCATCGCCAGTGACAATCTTTTTGAGAAACGTCGGGTCCTGTGTACTTTTGTCAAACAGATTGCCAGCGACCATCATGCAACATTCCATCTGATCCGTGGTCAGCTGCCTCGGAACAAACTTTGCACTGACGCGTCTCATCTTCAAATCATCGGACAAAATGGCATGACTGGATCCATGAGTGATACCAACTTCTTGCTCCAACTCCGTGATGGTCATTCTTTGATCACATTGAATCAGTTGTCGCACTTTTCCAATCATTTCTTTGGTTCTGGATGTCTAAGGTCTCTCGCTGCGCTGGTCATCCTCTAACGTCTCCTGCCCATTCTTAAACCAGGAAAACCATTCGTAAACTGTGGATTTCTTTAGTGCAGTATCACCGTAAACTTTCTGCAGGGCCGATAGCATCTCAGAAGCAGATCTTCCAAATTTGCACATGAACTTTATGTTCTCACGCTGTTCAAACTGCAACATTGCGCCGAATGACAAACACTAACGTCTAATTCAAACAGAACAGTAATGACACTGCACACTGAAACCTGTCCAGACCTGTTGCACCTGTGAGCAGACATGCTGAGCTCCCCACAACAGTGTGTGCGCTATCTTATCACTCGTTCTCCATCTGCAGGGGAATTCTGGAAACTTTTTGACTGCCCTGCATATTTCCCATAACACGTTTAAGTGATGTTCTACTGTGCCTGGCTTGTTCCGTACACAAGTATAGTATGGAAAATTGCTGTGCATTCATTCTCTTCATCTGTTATATCAGCTGTTAAGTATGGGCTGACTGCTCATAGTACAAAAATTGATATTAATTAATTATGTAAAATCAGATTAAATACCATCTCATTTTGTAATATGTACAGAACAGATTTGGCTGACTACATATAAAGATACTGATTTACATAATGCTGAATTTACGTGTCATTCAAACTCACAATTCCAACGCATAGTGATTGTGTCAGACATCTTGTGGAGATTTTCAGAATGTAGTCCCAACTAACAGTTCTTGTGCAGATACAAAAAATGACATTTTCCTTCTGCATTAGTGGGTATTGAAATTTTCTTTTTTTAACCAGGACTTTCCCTCATTGACAATTTTTGTTTGCTTCAGGTCTTTGAACTGATGATAGTAGTAGCCTATAAGTACATCATTCTCCACCACAGATGCAGCACTACATCTGCCTTAATTGTTTGTACGAATATCTGGTATCTGTCTGTCTACATCCACCAACTTTAATTCTTTCCGAGGCTCTGGGAATGCATTTCCAGATGTCATAAACTTAAGCAACAAAATTTCAGCGAACATAGGACTACAATGATAAACAAACAGCATGGAATGAAAATCTACACAAGAGTCACTGAAATGTCCATATATGAACTACATGTTAATATATGATTGATTAAATAACAGAGAAGAGCAATTGCTAGCTTTACTCTTTATGTCTCTAAAAGGTTCAGCAACTGAAGAGTTGTCTTGCTGTTATCACAAAATTTCTTCCCAGATTTCCCACATTTTCTCATTCCTGGGAATCATTTCTTAGGATGGTTAAATCATGAACAGTTTATATTCTTTAGGGGAAGGGGGAGGTAACAAGTAAAAGAATCTTTATATTAATGTATAAATAAGATGTTAGGCAATCATCTAGAATGAACAAAAACATCAATTCACTGGTGGGATTCAAAATTTTTACTTCCAGTATCCAGTGCCTTAAACTGCAGCCCTTAGGATCTCCTGACTTCATGTCAGTTTTACCATTATTAGAGTTGTTGACACTGAAGTTGTCAGAAATGTATTTTAGAATGAAGCAGCCACTTAGGGACAAACATTTCTGAGAAGATTAACTAATTTCCCTTTTTCAGGATATTGAAAAGTTTGCAGAGTGTAGGCGTCAGAGAGGTGTCAGTGTATCAGCAGTTAAGTTTGATGATTCACCTCATGTCAAACATTATTTTGTGCATCGAGAAATTTACATAAATACAGTATGCAGCTTCCTTCATTCATGTCTGTCAGGTATGTTGCATTATCATAATCACCAGAAGACAGTTCTGCTTTCACTGATTTTCCTAAGTACGATCGTGCCTTGTCAGCAGTGTTTTTTTTCTGAATATAGACTGGAAATGTTTGTGATTTCCATTTGTATGTAGTTTTTCCAACTATGGTAGCTGGTTAAATGCATCCACGGTTTCTAATTCATGCAATACAGAAGAGTCTGTGGTCCACTAAACATGGTCATCATCATGGAATGATTTGAACTCAACAAAATCTAATAGGCAAATTAAAAAAAAAAAGATGATTGTGATGATTTTATTTTAATTGGTAGGTACCTGAACATATATTATTTCTAAATATGTTACTAGGCCTAAGTACTTTTTTATATTTAGTGAAGGAATAGGCAGGTTGGTTGATGTGTTAAGAGTGGCCATGGTTCTCTTAACCCCACATTTGTGTTTTGGCAACCATGACTTTCTTAACCACGGTAATTCTCAGGAACAAAGCCTGCTTATAAGATAACTTTCCGAATTTTTCATTTGTTTCAGAATTGGGTGTCAGTTCAATAAGAATGTTTGGTGAGTCCACAAGTGGAACAAACTCATTTGCAACACCTTCGGCATCCCCAAAACATGAAGTACCAGAATCATTGCAGCCAGTGAAATCTGATTAAGGGACTTACATAGTATAAATAACTAATTTATTTTTAAGTCTTGGACAGGTTTATGCATTATAAAGTAAATGTTTTTTTAAATGGTTCAGACAGTTCCATTAGAGACTTTAAATTTTGCTTTGTTTTATGGCCCTTATCTCGTAAAATGTTCATTTTATAAGTGTTTGTGTTCAGGTACATTTAATTTAAGTTTTTGGAGATGGTTCAGGTATTTATATGTGGTTGTAACCCTAAAATTTTACTGAGTATTGGAGAAAAGAATGCATGTGACTGTAAGTTACAGGTTTTAAATTTTGAGAAAGTCCTTCTTTCTAATGATGTAGATTTTGCATGGAAGGCCCGGTAGTAGCTTTACTGTTTAAAATACATACATATACTGTGTCTTTTAAAGTTTCTTTTCTAGGGATGATATTCAGACTTGATATGTGTTAAAATTAGTCATTCCAGCACAGTATGTTGTTATCACAGGGAAAGCTGGGGTCGGGTCATAGACTGGGAATGAGCATCAGTCATTTGCAGTTTGGTTATGTATAACCTGTGACCACTTGTCTGTGTGCGATAAACATGTTGTAACAGTTTAGTCGATCTATATCTGCTTATATGAAATATTGAGAAGTGATTTCTGACATTTTGCTAGAGGAAATATGTATGTTTAAAATACTTTTATATGTCCTGTGATATAGGCACAAGATGTTTGCCATGGTTTAACTTTATGCAAGTTACAATTTATTCTAAGTATGAAAACTGAAACATGGCATGTGATTTATTAGAATGCATGCACTATATTACTTTTAACCAAAGTACTACAACCGTCTCACTTGGTTGGTGTAGTTGGTTATTCCAATAGAAGTAACCCAGAGAGACACTCCAAATATGTTAAGTTTACTAGCAAACGATCACAGGGTATTTATATCTTGGAAATCAATGAGGTCCTAAGAATGAGAATGTTTAGCATATAGAAATTTTGTGCGCAAGGTCAGATATAATCAGGTGGACTAAACAACAAAACAAAACAAACTCTGTGATTTTAGTCCGCAAGCGAACTATAACAACCTCGTGATGATAATTGAGGAGCTATTTCAAGGAAATAGCGGCTCCGGTCTAGAAAACGGAAATTAACGGCCATGTGGATTTGTTGCGCTGACCACGCGACACCCTCTGTCTGCAAAAGTTGGCACTAAACTTCGCCAATAAGCGGCGGTCGCTTGGTCGGTCGGACTGAACAACAAACCATATAATTTGTATGTGTAATTTGAGCTTCTAGTTGTGCCATATGGTGAAGTTGTTCCATTTCTGTGCAATCTTCAATTTGAATGAGGTTACAAGAGAATGCAGTTCTGTGTATAGAAGTCTTGTATGGGAGTAAGGGTGTAGGTGAAGAGCATGGTGCTATATTCGCAATTTGTATATTAGTGAGATCCCTCATTTGAAGTTGGGCGAATAAGGCAAAAGGAGGATGCGACCCAAAATGTAGGTCTTTTAACTGTAATAATGGTGCAGGTGAAGAGTGTGGTGTTTATATATGTAATTTGTGTGTGATGGACCTGAGTTAAAGTTGGGTCATTGAGGTGAAAGGAGAGGATGCGACCCAAAATGTAGGTCTTGTAATGGGAGACTTCAGTTAAAACTGTAAATCTTAATTACATGTTTATGTACTTTCATTCATTATTTGTGTTCTTTACTTGCATACTCACATTCTTTTGAAAAAGCCGTGTCTGGAGATTTACATGCATAACCTTGTCCAAAATGTCTTAATACTAGAGGCGCATATATAAAAGGCAACATTGAACTCCTATATCGATTGCAGATACTAAGCTAACAAGAAACTCTTTCTTAACTCACAACTTAATTTAAAATAGTCAGAATTTAGATGTCCAAATTAGGTATTATCTTTAACCCTTTGCATGTCACAATTTGATGATATCAGCTGAGGATGCTTATGTTAAAACAACTGCAGTAAAGAAATTGGCATGTTGTTAATCATTTAGTATAGCATTGCTGTCAATAGATGGCATCAGTAGTGGCATACCGTTATTTAGAGAAACAGAAGGGCTCTTAAATATTCCCCATTCTGGTTGAAAGTCTATGATGAAAGTATTGCAGGTTTTTCTGTGGAGCTGCACATACTAGCCTTCGCATTTTTAACAGATATTTCTATGGAATGTCTTGGCTCACAGAGGGTTAAGTCTTTCTTGTCAAGAAGTTCCTGCAGTGTTTTACATAGAAGTCTTTTTTAACTTATCGGATAGATCATTTGTAATTATATACTCAGTTTACTTTGCAGAGTAAGAGGGTTCTTAAAAATGCCTTAGTGCCCTTTGTCAAATGCATAATCATAGCAACTGATGGAAAAGGGAGCAGGTGTCGAGAATTAAATTATAATTCTCTGTATGTACATAAATTCAGTGCTTGAAAGTATGTATGCTGATGTTTTGTGTTTATATTTAACTGAACACAAGAGAATTCTTATAGCAGATACTGCATTATGCACTTAGAACATGTTTGCCATGTTCGTATTTCTAATCATCAAAGGAGAGAAAGCTATGATGAACAAGTATTTTCATTTACTGCTCATTCTACTATGGTTGCTCCTCTGCAAACTGTTCACTATTTACATGTGGTTATTTGAAAAAACCAAGAAACTTTTGAGATCTTTGAGTTCATTTCTTTTCAGTATTCTCCATCTGCAGTTGTATGCAAGCTACAGTAAGCATCTTCAGTACTTTGGTTTCAGGATGTCCTTCAAAATTTCATCACAATATTGATTATGGTCTACATATCCCTGAATTTTCATCCTTTGAATACTTCTTTTAGTTTCAGAAATAACAAAATGTCCATGGAGGCTAGATCCAGAACCAAAGCATGTCATGAAGCATAACTGTTCCTTTAACTAATTAAGCGTATGGAGAGTGGATGTAGAGATCCACATTTTCTTGACCTCGGCACTAGTTGGAGATGAGTGGTCAGCTTCACCCCCCTGCTGCTTTATCTCCAGGGAAAGAGCCCCCGGTACACATTGGATAGGAGGTAGAGTGGGCCCCAGAGCCAGTCTGGATGACATGGAGGAGTGAAAATTCTTGCCCCCACCGGGACTTGAACTCCGACCCCTCAGTCATCCAGCCCGTAGCCAGTTGCTATACCGACTGCGCTATCCAGGCTCATATAACTGTTCCTTTACTATTTATAAAATGTGATTCATATATTTTCTTAGTTACTTAATTAGTTCATTTATTTATTATTTAAATAAAGGACTGGAGAGATTTCAGATTAATTGCAGTTTCTCTCAGATATAGTGACTTCAGCTCTCACTTGACTCACTCTACCTCTCAAGGTAACACATGCATTAGATGTAGCTTTCACAGTGTTCAGAGTCAGAAAATTATTTTATTATGTCTTGAGGACGAGTCTGCTGTAAACATGTTAGAAAATAATGCGGTATGCAACATCATTACTGGGTGGATGGACAGAAGCAGATACACATTATGATTTGTAAACTTCTGTCCTATTCTTAAGAGATTATTGCAATGATTGTATGTGAATCAGTATGAGTCATTTTAAATATGTCTTTAATTTTAGCAATATTTATTTATAATATATATGTATATATTTCTGTACTGAAATCACTAAAAATATTCAGGGGGCTGGGTCACAGCTTGTATAAATGTACAGTGACCTTTCAGGTCATACAACTGTCATTTTATAATTTTATTCTGCAGAATGTATCTTAAGATTCATGACAATTTACATCACAGTTTACGCTTATGTACTTAGTGCAAGATTTTGCATATAGTTTGTTTCAGAACATTGTCTTTTACTTTGTGTATGTACCAGAAGAATTGGAGTTAACTTCGGTTAATGTGTAATTCATAACCATTCATTCAGTGGAGAATTATTTTTCCTTCCATTTATAAAATTTGTCACCTTCCCAATTCCATATGTTCTTTGGTGTAATTAAATTGTGGGGGAGGGAAACAGTGTGACATGACATATGTAGTGAAATACAGTGAAGTGATATTTAGATTGGGATAAAGTAAGTAAAAAGTAAAGTAAAGATATCCCTGTAACAGGCTGTGAAGGCCCATAGGGTTGTGAGATGTTGAGGTTCCCACATTTTCTAGACAATCAGCTCATAGATGGCAGCAAGGTTGTCAGCCTTATGCACCGGCCACCCTTTACCCCCAAGAACATTCCAAGAATATTCCTGGTAATCATTTTTGTTAGAGGCTGAGTTGACCCCAGGGCCATAGTGCGGCTGGAAGGATTAGGTAAATTGAAAAAATCCATCTAATTGGGATTCAATCCCACGACCTTCTGGCTTGTAGCATAGTGTCTCAACCAACTATGCTACCACATGCCCCATTCAGATTGGGATAGTTTTTTTAATTTACTTAAAGAGTTTATGTTCATCCTTCAAGGTGAATCCCTCTGTAGAATTTGTATCTTATTTTTTATCATATTTCATTTTCATGTGTGAAACTTTATGATTTTTAGAATCCATTTATTGGGACATGAATGAGCCCTTCAAGCATGTAGCAAAGTGCATAATGAATTTCATAGTAATATATTATTAAACTGAAGCTCGCATATCTCAGGATATCCACTGCATTTTTGTAGTTATGCAGAGTATTTTAATGAAGTTTCATATGAGGGCAGTGTGTGCTGGATTTTAAAATTACATTTCAACTCTAGCACATTTTAGTGGTTTTAATGTCATTTCCACTCTCCATGAGGCAAACCTTTGGACATTTATCTTGCCAATAGCTTAAAAATTATAAGGTATTACATAGTAGATTAATTCCTCAGTCATGTTACAATTAACAGATTAGCAGTCAATTTAAGGATGTTTAGTTTTTATACATATTCATTGAATTCAGCCTTATGAATATTACAGTAAATTTGCCAAAGATATTGCATTTCCTCAGAATTTTAGTACATGCATCTAAATATTGTATAAATAAAAAGAACCATCTTACACATACACTAAATAAAATGAAGTGTGAGATTTTTTGGTTTCTCATGACATTGACTTTGAAGATTACTGTCTTCTGGGATATGATACTGTGTAGTTTGGTAGTATGTTACTAGTGTCCTGCAAAATGGTAGTACCTCTCTACCAAACTATGTGACGTCACATCTCAGAAGGTAGTAATCTTCAAGTTAAAACATCTCAAATTCTTACTTTTGTTGAGGCTTCAAAGGAAGAGAGTTCTTTCTTGAAACCTCTGCTATTGAGGTGCATGTGTCTGTCGGTGCAAAGTGAATTACAAACATAAGTACTAGTATGACAGGTACTTAGAGATTAATATTTTGACCAACGGTGATTACCAAATAAATAATTTCACTTGTATGCTATGCAAATTACAGAAGATCGAATGTTACTGTTGAAAAGTTCCATGTTATTCTGTGCTCGCTGTATGATGTAAAGAGAATGTTCTGTCATGGCTTGAAACATTTTTGTTGTAATGTAATAAAATGTTAAAATGTGGCAAGTAATCTTGGTCCATACTCGGCAATAATGTGTCTCACCTGTAACAGTTTTCAGTTGTCCATGATATCTTATATTCTCTTGTCATTCAAAGATGACAACTTCCTGTATAATTTGGCTAGCTTGTGGCAGTTGTTTACTAGTGACATACTTTTCTTTGTTTCCTGCCCAAACTCAAAATAAATTTAGGTACTTGTTCATGGATCTCACTATTTTTCTTCAACTAATGTACTGAATATTGTATTTATTAATATATGAAAATGATTTTTGCCTGATTCACCATCAGAAGAATGGAGAAATTGTCCTAAAACTGTGAACAAAATACTTCACTAGACTGAATGTTTACATCACCTGTTGTATAAATTGTTATTTTTAGTATGTTTTATTGTATTGAATTGTATATGAAAACATTGACAGCATCTTATTGTGTATATTTTTGAATGAAATCTTTGGTGAGCCTTTAGAGGGGAAAGTTAGGTTTCTGGTTTGCACACTTGTCTTGAAACAACTTGAAAAAGAGGTGTCTGTATTATGAAATATCAGTAATATAGAATAGAAAATGGAGGATGACAAATGATCAGTCA